GCCACATCACCACTGCTCGGTGTCAAACACTGTGAAACAAAGCGGGCCTTGTGTCCTGTTTGCAGAGTCGGACCTACTCACCTTTGTGCTTTGCTTCTCCTTCATGATGATTCTTGATAGCAGCACAACCCATATTGGCATTGTAGCTTTCACTGTGAGAGAAAGAAAGAATAGAAAAAGGCACAATTTCAGCTGGGAAATTACAACAAACTATGTGTCTCCATATCAAACATATTGCCCTTTAAATGGTTGAGAGTACAAGACGGATTACATTATAAAAGCTACTGGGTCAAAGCCAAGCCAAACACAACACACCTTCATTGTAATGCGTCACTTACTGGTGTAGGTTTATCCTGATGGTGTGTGTTACCAACAATGAGACTTAAAAGCCATGAAAACTAGATTCAGCTCAGTAAAAACAACTTTTATCCACATGGACAAAGCGACTTTGAAACTTTAGAGAGAGAGAGAGATTTATTGACATGGCAGCTGTGCCTCTAAAGTTGTTTCCAAGGACCAACAAGGTTCCTTTAGTTAGTGTGTAGAGGTGATCAAAACAGCCAAGAATAGTTTAATTTGAAGTGTATTTAGGAGAAACTATTAGAAGATATGACTGTTTACTGTGGTATTGAATTTCAGGTAACAATTCAAATATGATAATATTGGTTAAATAACACAGGCGGTCATAACGATAAACTGATGGTGACAGACCTCGTCTCTCCCTCCCTACACTTGCATTTCAAATGTAATTTTAAAAAGAGAGAAACGACTGTAAATAAGCACAGTTAAAGTTTATTTGACAGGTGCTGTTGAAATTTGAACTCATAAGGAGAAGTGTTTTATAAGCTTTCAATCAATGTAGTCCAAGTAGAATTGACACCTCTCTTAAAATAGATAAAAGAGAAAACTGAACAATCAAACCGTCATAAAAATCATGACGTATGACCTTCAAACTGTTGTTGTATAAGACTGACAACTGAATTGTATTTCAACTATCAAATACTGATGGGAATTAATGGAATGAAGCTACACGGTTATTTAAAGCAGGTTAAACCAGTTGAGAGTGTCAATGGGAGCCGTCATCAGTCATGACAGACTCGGATTTTGAAATATTTTAAAAACATTGTGGTAATACTTTAGACTGCAAATTGTGGTGTTCTAAAACTGTATTGCATTATAATGAACGGTATTTCTTTATTAAGTCCACACGTATTGATATAGAAATGGGTGGAACATAGTTGTACAAACGTATCAGTATAATAGACAGCCTCCAAAAAAACCTCTCTGTAAACAGTTTCAAATAATGGTAATCTATTGAGTGGCTGATAACATTTGAACCATCAATATCCACTTGGCCTGTGGGAAAAAGGATAACTTTGGACTGTGAAACTACTTTTTTCTGATAAACTACACTAATTTAAGTGTTGACAAAATGTCCAACTTTTTAATCATACATTGCCTAACAACCGTCAGCTGAAAACGCATCATCAAAAAGATGAAGATAGGGTACTTGTTCTAAAAACAAATTATTTTTTAGAGGTGTCTTATGGACCATAAAGCTTGAAAAATGAAGATGTAGTAGAGATGCATTGCTGTAGACTCAACTACCCAACAGTAAATAAAGGAGTTATAATTATCTCATCCATGCAGCAGTCAAATGCAACATGTGAATCAGTCAAACACTCAAAGGGAACATTTTACTAGACAATAACAATTGAAACTATATCCATATTATTTGCATACAAGTTTGTTTTGGATTTACATTTCCCTCATACTACTTAAAGGTTTATTTTACTTGTAGATGATAACTTTCACAACGTCGTATTTGAACTTTTCTCCCCTTGAGGATCTTAATACTTCCATCACTGCTTAGGGGAAAACTCAATTATATGAGGATTACATAAAACCAGTCACCGATCAAAGTTAGAGAAGCGCAACACGGAACAGGTTCAGTCCTGGACCCTCCCCCCTGACGTATTAGCTTTAATTAAGTTGGGGAGCTAGCTAACAGTAGCTAGTTAGTTACTCTTAAATGGAGCCTCAAGCGGACCAATTTTAAGTTAGCGGGTCGATGGTAAGTTAATAAATCCTATGAAAGCATGTCTGTTCACGGACGCCTCGCTGACCCGGGCCCACAGGCTCCTTTATGTCGGTGTCGCCGAGTTGCCCTGCGTTAGCCACGTAGCTAACAACAGCTGACGGTGCGGACACATCATCAAGTTACCAGGTGGCCTCACATTATCTCATACATTCATGCAAACAGGCTGTACTCACCGGTGTGCGCATATGAAACGGGTACTTTCCATATGCTGAAGTGGGCAGACACAGATGCAAAGTATTTTCCGAAAGCTAGAGGCAGGATGGTCCACCGGTAGTAACTGCTCGGCAGTTCTGTTGTGGGGACTCCCCATGCCCGCAGCAGCGGCGGGAGGAACACGACGATAGAGATGATGTGGAACAGAGAAACTGTGACGGGGTACGGGAAATCATTCAGGATGATTTTGTTGACGATGTTGCCCCCTGAGCTGACCGTGTACCAACACACACACAGAAAAAATATCCGGATCCCTTCCCTAACAGGGGGCCGGTCCGCCGCAGCCATCTTCCAGCGCGGAGTGACGAGTCACCGGCGGAGAGTCCGCCTGCACCGCACCGGGAGCTGCTCCGCGTCACCCTGACAACAATGGAGCCCAGGCAGCACTTCCGGCCACGCGTTTCAAAATAAAAGTCATCTGCAGACATGCGTTTAATGATGGAACCTTCTGAGCCGCATTAAAATGGTAGATTTGGGAAAATTAACTAACTTGTAATAAATATTGTAAAAATTGCCATGTAGGTATTTTCCTGGTAAAACAGGTTCTAATTAACTTTGCTTGTGACTATCTGTGCATTTCTATTATTCTTGTCGGTTTACACATATGTACAACATCTAATTGCTTTTATTAATTAACAAAGGGTCATTGAATTGGACTCAATTGTGAATCTGCAGGTTTAATACATTTCTCTTTCAATTTCCAAAGTATTCTCTCAGTATCTGAAAAAAACAACCCATAAGAGACAGTTTATTATATTAGAAAAAAACACATTAAACGCTCAAACAGACAGGGGAATGTTTGGTATTTTGGGATAAAAAATATACTTGAAAGTATAATTAATAAAAAATAGTTGCTAATCATTTTCTGTTGAGCTAATTGACACATTGGAATCAGCTTCAAATTCGTCTATAGAGGTGTAATTGCATCAATGACTATGTGGATTTGTTACAATTGCTCATAAGCAGGGCCGGCCCTAGACTTTTGGGGCCCTAAGCGAGCTTTGGCTTGGGGGCCCCCCTCACTCTAGCGCGTTCTAACTACACACAACACGGAACCAACTTTTGTCTTATGATGTTAGCATAAGCACACATATTGTATAAATAAGCATGTAAACACCGTGGACCTAACCTCCTCTAGGGTGGTCCGGGGGCATGCTCCCCCGGGAAGATTTTTTTTTTAAATATTGAAGTTAAAAGCATCAATCTGGTGCACTTTGAGAGCAACATTAAGAGATCTATGGATACATCTCTCAACACCCATATGAAACAGAACTGTAAACAGATTTCTCTTTATGGATATTTTACAAATCACTCCCCTTTTAAACTGTATTCTTGTTTTGTCATATAGTATTTCATAACTGTTTTTCATTTATCCTCTCTGGCTGTCCATCTCATAATGTTCACATAGAAACTAGCTGTCAATAGGAATATCATTCAGAAGAATTATAATTTCATGCAAAAATCTGTCACAAAAAGAGGTTGCACATTTAAATTCAGGTGTTGTTATGGCAACGTCAGTGGCCAAACAGCCACATTTACTGCTGCAAATACGTTCAAACATGCTGTCGACACGTAAAGCAGTGGCAACTATGCCACCATTTCAGCTGACTTTTTCTCAGAAATACTGTCACATAACATTCATATATTTCAGTGCTAGGTTGATGCTTAGCTAAGCTAACTATGAAACACTTTAACTGACAGGACTCAGGATCAATGGTGTACTGTAAGGTAGCTTCTCGCTTCATGTCGAAGAGTAAGTCAACATTTCCCAGAGAGCTTTCTTTGAAATCACCAGGTAAAGGTGGGGTAGGTAATTTTGGAGAAACTAGCTCGAGTGCGCTAGAATTTGAAAATACACAGCCGGAAAAAATCTGCCACTTCCTTACAGAGCCGGCTGACAGGCAGGTAGGCCAATCATTTTAGATTGGTCGTGCTTTTTACAGTACTACGGCTTCCACAGATGACATTTTTTAATGGATTTTTTGTCAAAGCACTTAAGATATTCATTGCTATCGGGATGTTAAGAGCATTCCATGGATTATAACAAAAAGTGTATCTCGAGACAGTTTCTCAAACTTACCTACACCACCTTAACTCTAAAAAAACATTACATTTAGATTGTATGACAAAGAAAGTTTAGCTTACCCCCGCGATTCGACTGACAGTTTATTTTAAACATTGTCACAGCTCACAGGATAGGTACCTGTCAGCCAACAGATGTTTATTTCCATTCAACTCTCTGGTTGTTCTGGTGCCTTGCCTCTGTTGCATTCACTGAACACGGGAAATTACATTCCTGCCGTCCTCTCTAGTGTCATGATGAGGTTCAGGTAAAGCACGGTTAATGTATTATATTATTGACTCAATAATATAATACATGACTTTGAGAGTAGGCAATCTAGGCATATTAACAAAATTAATTAAACCTACGAGATTATTATTTTTTTTCCCATTTTTTTTTTTTTTTGCTATAGTGGCTGCGGGGCCCTAAGCGGCCGCTTATGTCTCTTAATGGGTCGGGCCGGCTCTGCTCATAAGCATAGTTATGTATAGGAGTATCCTAAGAATGAATTAAAAATATAGTTAGCATGCAGAGATTCTGCACTGTGGAAACTATTTTTCAGTTAGATTACAGGAGGTAATTGCAAAGGGCTACTTTTTAATTCCTTTAAAGAAGACACTCACAATTAATTCAGTTTTTTTATTAACACATATCAACATGTCCGCTTAAAGGACTAAGTAGCAAATATGTTCTCGCATGTTTAACGAACACAAAAGGCTAATTTCTGTACATTCACTAAGGCTCCGTCTTTAGGGAAAACACAGGTTTCCATAAGGCAAACAGTATCTACAGGAATGATATGAAGTACTTTATCCAGCATTTCAATGTAGTTGTCCTGACAGAAGACAAAGATGCAAAACTAGGAGAATATTCTGCTCTGCCATTCCAATACATATTTCACAGCCTTAATACACAGTAAAGGGAAAAGGCAAGTATTAAATAACATGTTTTCACATTATCAGAATGTGTCATTTTGCAGTTTTCCTGTGTGAAGTAAGTTGGTTTTTAAGCAGTAAATGCTGAACAAAGAAATCTAACAATGAAAATGAAAGAAGTCTGAACATGTATATAAATCACAAAATTAATATATAAATGTAAATAAATATTATACTTGACAGCCTCTGACTTCTTTATTAGAGTGCATTGTTCAACCCTCATACAGGCCTTTCTTTCAGCCCAAGCTGCACACTCATATCTGGAAGTTATGTCACGTTATTTAACAGCATTCAAACCAAACAACACAAGAAAAATATTTAAATGTTTTCAAGCAGATTGTTTTTCTTCATGCTAAAAGCCACTGCAGGAGACAGTTGTGCAATGGGGAAACAGCAGTTCTAAAGAGGTGCAATGACGAGTGTTTTGCACAGGATTTTATAGTTTTCTAACACCAATGAGAATGACATAGCTACTTAAAGATGGCATTCAATTCAGCTTTTCAAGCTAAACAGCACTTTTCAAGATGCTGTAAATGCAAACAAAACCCTCATTAGTACCAATTATGTAGCTTACCAGTCTCAATTGAAAGGTGATAGTCACATTTTTAACACAGATAAGACAAACAAAACTTTAAATTGAAAAATACTGCACTGTGAAATAAATGTAAAATTCAGTAAAGTCACATTCCACAGGTCATGTGGATTTCCTAAGACAGATCAAATGCAGCTGTGCAGTTTAATGTGATGTCCTCTCCCATACAAAGAATGGCAGGTATGGGGAGCTCAATGTGTAGTTACTAAATAGTAAGGTAATGCATAGCCTCTTTCCTTTGTGCCGTCCTCACACAATGTTCATGAACTCATAAAAACACTGATTACCCCCTGTGCTCCACACACACCCACGTAGGCAGCACATAGACTCCACTTTCAGCCGCAATGCAAAACTGCAGCTTACACTTAAATAAAAGAGCCTTGACCAACGCAGAGCTGCTCTGCTCAACCATGAAGGCAGCTTACAACTTCCAAACCCAAGCTCAGATTTAATCCAGACAGACGTATGGCAGTATGTTCAACCTGCTCTCATCTCCATGCGGGTCTAAAGAGATGCACTCCGTCCAGTCATACCAAGTACCCTTTGTGTCATAGCAACCGTTAACCCCGGACCAGTGTTGCTTGTGTAATTTGTTCAGGTCTTCGTTGATGACCTCTCTGCTAACCCCAGGTAAATCCCTGGCTGGGAGTTCTGGGGCCAGCACGTGTGTTTTCTTCACATCTGTAGTGCGGGGTTCCTCTTTTTTCACAAACTCTTTCAAAAAGTGTGCACCAGGGGTGTTGGTGCCTGACGACGCCAGCACGTTGCTTTGCTGGCTAAGGTACGACTGGATGATTTCGCTCCGTGACAGCGCTTTCCAGTCTGTCTGCTGGAAGGGACTGGGAGGAACTGGGGGATTCAGCTTCGGCTGCTCTGAACACTGAGGTTCCAATCTGACATCCCCCTCCTGGCAAATCTCCTTCTGGAAGGAGGATTTTATCTGTCCTGTGACAGCGTCAAATGTCAGTCTCCTGTCTTTTAACCTGACTGGTTTAGTGCTGTCTTCTACAGTCTGTCCCTCTGAATTTATCACATGGTCTTTAGGCCTGTTTTTCTGTTTTTTCCTTTTCTCTGTATTGCTAACAGCACCATAAGCTTCCAAACTGACCACATCCCCACAGGAGGAGTCATAGGACTTGAGAAGAGACGTACTGGGAGGCCTGCACTGAGAATGCAATTCTGAAACATCTGTGTGCAAACCCTGAACACAACCAGTGGAAGGCTGAGAGGATGGCCCCAGCCCAGAGGTGTCCCCAGGCCCGGGCCTCACAGTGGGGGTTGGAAGACCTTGTGCTTGTGATGCAGTTTGGTTTACACCAGTTTCCTGATTTGGAGTTTGAGGAGTGTGCAAGGAACAGCCTGGGCTTCTGGGTCGATGCTGCCCTCCAGAGACAGCTTGCTCCCGTCTGGCCTGCTGCTGCAGAACTGATGCTTTAAGCAAAGAAGAAGTGCTAGGTGGCTTGCTGTATCCCAGGGCACTTGGATGAGGTTTGACAGCATTGACTGGGATTTTAATTAGTCTGTCATTGTCCAAAGGCTCTGAAATCTCCTTGTCTAAAGGCTGATGTGTACGAGTATCTTTAAAAATGTCAGAGCTACCACCAATTCCATTGGTTGGCAGCTGTTTGGAGTTTTGCATTTTATCATTTAGAGTCATTTTGGATCTCTTTGCTGGTAAGAGCAGTTCTTCTTTGTGGTCACCCTTACCTTTCCTGGTGCTTGTTTTCTCAACCTTCGGGGAGTAGCAGTTGTTGAAGTCATTTCTGTTCTTCAACTCTGAACCCGTTTTACCTGATGGTGTGGTGGCAGCTGGAGTGGAGATGCAGGAATGAGCACCACCATTGGAAGACCATGATGCACCAGTGTGTCCTTTGGACAACATCTCTCCCTTTCCTGGCTCAATTAACTTCTGCCAAGTCCGCAGCAGCTTCTTGGCCCTTCTTGCAAGGTCCTCATTCTTAGTTTTCTTTCGGACATCGTTGATGAGCTTGCCAAGGCGGGTTTCCTTTAAGGAGATAAGATTAGTGGTTAACAGCAATTATATTATGAACGGATTCAGCTGCCATATATTTGGAAAGGACATACTGTAGGACTGAATGTAACCCACCTCTAGTGCCTCTTTGGTGATAGGATATTTCTCCAAATAGGAGATCACCTCCATGACTACCACCATGTTGCATATCTGCTGAAAAGACACATAGGTATATATTACAATCCACGGTCATCATTATTGTCTTAAGCGTCACCATCACAGTGTCCACGTACAGTTGTTGTTATGCAGTGATTCAGAACCTTACAGCCCAACCATACATCAATTCTCCAGAGAGAGAAAGAAAGGCTGTTAAAAAGGTCAAGGCATCATTTGAATAGTCTTTCAAATGTGCACCTGTGTGTAAAGAGTCCATGCATACTGGTTTCAGGCTCACTATGACAAACTGAGATTGCATGCAAATGTGTCCATCCCCCCCCCAGGAGAATAAAAGATATGCAAGTAAGAAAGAAGAAAGTGCTGAAAATAGTGTCCTGTTTACTTTAATCTGAGCCTGCTTTGCGCCAACTAAAGTTGAGCGATTTGATCATATTTACCATGAAGTTATATAAATGTGTCCACTAGATTGTGTTAAGATAAGCTTATAGTAATAATCAGTGTAAATGTTGCATATCAATGAGGACTGCTAAATCCAATAATGGATTGATACAGATTTCTGCATAAATGTAATAAACTACCTATATTTATTTGTTATTTATTTGCTCAAAAAATACAATCTTGTGTGTTGGTTAAAAACATTATGATTGAGGATTTCCTATCACCATTCCTGTTTACGCTGGATATGAATGACTGTCAGCTACAACACAAAGAATGTGTGGTGTCATTCACAGCCAGGACATCCCAGAGGTCACTTCTTCTTATATGTCTTACACATATGTAAGAGTCACCATTGATAATGAGCTCAGCTGGCACACTCTTGTTGCAAGTGTTGAAAGACACCATTTCCACGTATATGTGATCTAAAATAATATAGAAGATATGAATCAAACACATCAGCTCATTAAGTTAACTGCTTTAACTTGTAAACCCAGCATTGCAGTAAGCATTATACTAAAAATTGTCATACTTTCCTTTGTTCTGGTTAGCAGTGACAACTACTTTTGAGTTAAGTGTTTCACAATAGTATTTTACAGTAGTTTTCAAGGTGGTAATAACAGTGGTATAGAACAATAGGACAGCATAATGCAAAAACAATTAGTTTAATATTATTATATTGTTTGACTTTAACAGTATGTTGTACCATGGATCTTGCTAGAAAACATGACAATCTCATCAACTGCATTATAGTGACAGAGGACATTATAATGTAATGTATTGCCTTGATGTCACTGAAACCCTAATGAATCAGTGTCTCTAGAACCAAAAGGTCTCCGTTACCACTTTCTCCCTCACGTCTTTAGTCTTGAAGCGTTTTAAGTGCACACAAAAAAACTAACTTGGCTACATCAACATTAGCCAGCAGCAGTCAGCTAGCAAGCCATTGGAATGCCTGTTAGTTACTTTAGCTAACCTGTGATGTTAGCAAGCTAATTAGCAAGAACATTATAAGTGAAAGCCCCCACTTTGTCAAGTCGGCTTGGCCTTGTTATCTGCCTCTACTCACCCAGTACGTCCTTTGGAAAGTACCGGTTATACTCACATTGCTCTGGCCGTCGATGGCCAGCAGCAGCCGGTCTCTCATCAGCTGCGGAGTGGCTGGAGTCGCTGTCATCGCCCGTCGGTGAGAGGGTCAGGTCGGACCCAGACAGCAGAATCCCCCGAAGAGGCGGCGGTGCGAAACCTGCCGACACTCACAGGCCCGACGACAGAGCTTCTCTGGGAGTAAGCACCATGTTTTATGATGCTTTTATTGTTGTTTTCATTCGCCGCCGTTACGTTTTAATAACGACGAGAACAGAAAATCCTCTCCAGGAATCGGCTACCCCCCTCGGCTGGTAGCCTCCTCCTCCTCTGCCTTCTCATCCGGCTTTTTGTCAAGCGGTCGCGCAGAGCATGATGGGAGAATTTTACGTAACCAATTGTTCACATTCGCAAGAGATTAAATAAATAAATAATATAAAGACAAAGCAATATTACAATTCCGTGGTATAGGAGTACATTATCTAAAAAATAAATTCAAAGAGGAGTAAGATACAAATAAATGGACTTTCAATTTAAATCACTTTCATTTATTTGCATTGCTTTATTTTATGTAGGCTAGCCTATTATATTTCGTCTACTCCTCAGACACTGCTAAATAAAAAATGAAATGCATGTGCATGTTAATGCTCGCTTTAAGCTGCCTTGGTTTTTTCTGAATTGGGGTTTGAATAAAGAGGGTAAAAAAGGTATTGTGTCTATTGCATTTATTTGCCTGCTTCTCCACACCTAACCCTTAGCAGTGGCTCTCAGTCTACACAAAGAAACCCCTATTCAGTTTATTTCCATCCATACATTAAATGTCATCTGCCAGTGGGTTCAAATCTGCAACCTTTTTTGCTCTGAAGAGACAATCATCATTGTCAGTGGCATTCTAAAGTCACAGATTCTAAGTATGTTAATCTATTGTATATAAACTGCACTGTACAGTCTATAGAATATACAGTTATTATCTGTATTAAATATGAAGTATTATAAGGGAATCTGATAATGACATTAATAGTCACGTCAGGGCCAATGCCCATTTGACTTGTCCCAATACAGTCAAAACCATTTTTTCAAGTCAATAAACAGACATTACATAAGAAAACTGTGTATTTTTATTGTTAGGAATAAGGACACATTTACATTGTAGGGCTTAAACATTTAGTCATAGCACAGGTGCCCCCGAATAAAGGAAAAAGTGATATTTTTTCCAGATTGAAATAAGGAGCATAAAAGCTGATGAGTAAATTTGGACATGTTTGTACAGAGGGGATGTAGGGTTCTGTAAGTGACAGATCATTTTGACTCACATTAAATCTAGTTCCCTGCAGCTTTTTCAGCTTATTTAGCAAGTTTTTTATTTAGTTTTTAATCCTGTAAGTGAAGGCTGTTTATCATTTTCATCTCCGTTTCAAAACTGATATGCTGGAGAAAAATGCTCCTGTTCAATATTGAAGCCCATGGGCACAAGACAACACATTTCCAGCAATGGCACGTGTGCTGGTGTAGATACAGTTCAACCAAAAAGGGTACAAATGTAACAACTTCTATAAGACAAAATAAATACAGTGATTCATAAATTCCTGTACAGCCGGAAGCAGATTTATGATTTTGGGTTGTTAATAAAAAATGAACCATAAATACAATTGTAAGGGCCAAAAGAACAGTAAACTCCAGTTTAGAAGAAGTTTATAGCATCCACCCTAGAAAATCAGCATCCTGATGAAAGTCCAGTGCACAAAGGTGGATCATGACCCAAACAATCTGTGAGGATTAGAGACATGCAGACAGTTAGAAAAGCAACAACTTCAGAGCCTATTTTAAGGAATGTCAAAAAAGGTATTCTGGCACATGTAGGGAATCACAAATTGGAGCACAGTTAAACAAGATTTACGAGGAAAAGAAAGCATAAATACTTTAAATAACTATGCCAGTGATATCACACAAATGTTCCACACTAACTTGAAAAAAATGAATACAAAAGATAATTCTTATTGGAAATAAAGCATTGTTTTATTCTAAAAATAAAAATTATTTCAACAGTTATTATTATTATTTGAACTATTAAAACATTTTTACAACATCACAAAACAATGACTTTGCTGTATTTGATGTAGGTCCCTTTTTTATTTAGACACTTGTTATAATGAATATATATAGAACTTACACTGATACATCAGTGTTTAGCTACACAGACAATATGCATGTATGTGATGAACACACATTATCTTGTAATGTTTTGACAGTAAGAACTATGCTTTAAAGTAACATTTTAGTAGAGAGACTGCCTCTTAAAACATTGCAGCCTGGTCGAAATCACCAAGTTCAACCATTACACATCTACTTGTAAATGAGCAGCATCAACTCAGGGTGGAATACTCACACAATCATGCAGAACATCATGAAGATGTTCCATAGAGCAATGAAGATACGAAAGTACCGGAGGCTGAGCAGGAACTCTCTGATGTTGTCACCTGAAAAACAGATCCTTTGAGAACTGCATTCACCTGTGACATACATATTTTACTCTTTGACACAGACACAGACACACGATACACACCTGTTGTGGGTGATCTGGACTCATCTCCGAATCCTTGTTGGGACTCCTTTCTTTTGCTGTAAAACATCCACAGTCAACCTTTAACTGATTCTATTTATTTTAACCTCACATGCGAGCATTGTAGCTGTTTTACACAATGTGACAGTAACTGTAATACTCACAGCTTGAAGTTCAGCACAGCTCCTGCATTGACCAGTAAGGTCCTGGAGGACACAGAGAGAGAACTGTTTGTTATTTACCTGTTCAGCTAACGTTAGCTGCTGAGCTGGCATTAGCACGGAGCTAGCTTGTTATTTAGCTTGGCCTATCGCCATCTTACCAGCAATACAGTGCATGATAACACACACAAATAACATTTCAATTATATAAATGTGTACTTGTATGTGAATGTCAAAGAAATTACCCGAATATCAACAGATCCCCGATCATTTTGCTCACATCACATCAGAGAGACGCCTTACTTCCGTGTTCGCCACGCAACCAGGAATGTGACCAATGCCGTTTCAGTATTCTGTCGTGGTGTTTTATGCCCTGATGCTAGACTGACAGGTCGTTCCTGCCAGGCAGTAGCAAGCATAGATATATGGTAGCCGTTCTTATTATACATCCATGGGCAGTAGTACTGTTGTGTCTTCAGATTCATCTCGGACAATTCATGTTTGTTTTTTAAAAGTGTGGATTCCTACCAATAATTCATTTAAAGCTAATATGCAATGGGTCTAGTCAATCAAAAACTTACAACATAGTTCGTAGTTTGATGTTAATATTATTGGACTTATAAAACACTATAAACTCATTTTAGGCCAATAATTAAGAGATAACCAGTATTTTTTCCAGAGAATGGGGAAAAGGCTCCGGTGTGAACGCGGCTATTGTAACATTAAATCCGTCATCATGGTAAGAACAATTTAGATTCGGTTTAACCCTTCTAAGGGGGTGTGTTGTGACAATGGAATGGTTCAATGTAGAGTTCATTATATTAGCATTTAATGTTAAAGGGTATGATTAGAGGCAGGTTGGGGTGAATGAGATAACAGTAATAAAGCGGCTGAAAAAAAACCTGCCGAAACTTTCAAAGCGAAAACTAGGACAAATTCTACATTTTCATTTCATAATAAATTATACCTGATCCACGTGCGCCACCTTTAGACAAGAAGCGCAATAACAGCTGCAGGTTCAGAACTGAAGAGGGTTGCTGTTTTTTTTCTTCCATTAAGCTCATTTTAAATTCTGTTACATACGATATTAGAATATTAAAATATATTTTTAATAAAGTCAGACACTATCTCTCATTAATTTGCATTATTTAAATTAGCATTTTGTCTTGCAATATCACAGAAGCATCTTGATTTTGGTGATTCAAATAAGGAATGTAAAAGGAGAGGAATAATTCAGACGGAGTAATAAATGTTTATCCATAAATGTCAACTTTACTAAATTGACATTTTGAAGATAGACCAACATAGACCCACTAGGTTTTTAATTGTGAGTAATGTCTGCCCTCTGGTGGTGGCAGAGCTCATTGCTTTCATTGTTATTCTCCTCAAGGATTAAAACCAAAATGAGCAAAAATATAAAATGGTTTGATTAAATGTATGTAGATCAAATACATAACATTGCCCTGCTGTTTATGTGTGGTATAGTATATAAATAATTAGCCTTTAATAAAAAAAGGATTGCATCATCTGAGAATGTAAACAGCAGGTGATATCGCCACATGGCGGTGGTGAGTCTGCAGCCTCCGTGCAGGATCCGGATTAAGAGGTTTGGGACTGAGTCTTTGTCCATGTTAAACCATGCACACTTGTCTCATTCTCTGTTGTGTTTCCAGGCTACAATCACTTCAAATCGCGTATTGTATACAGTCTATGATTGTAGCTCAGGTAAATAACGAGTTTGTCTATCGATGATGCACACACGAGGAGAAGCCCTTTGTTTTTCCAATGTCCAGCAGCTGACATGTAAACCCTGTGTGGTGTAAAAAGCGGAGCAGCTGGCACGGAGCGCGTGAAGCTGCTGCTGCTGAGGCTGTGCAGATGAGAGGTATTAATAGGAGGGCTTGAGTGTCACAGACTTTCACTGTCGAGACCGGGGGGCTTCGTGGAGAGTCAGTGGACCGGGTTTTTTTGGGGGGCTTTACGAACCAGACTGCGCAGTTGGAATACAAAACAAACACACAGACACTCTCTGAATACCATAGAAGCAACATGGAGGTCCTGGCAGCTCTCAATTTGGGCGATATTGCCCAAGTTTTCTCAAAAATGGGAATGTTTCCCGTGTTTGATGTCGCTTATTACATCGTGTCCATCCTCTACCTCAAGTATGAGCCAGGTAAGTGTGTTTTACACTTTTGTCTTTGCTTTTTTCTCCTTCAGATTATTCACTTGATTATGATGATTATGATGCTTATTTGATCAAAAGGATTTTCTATAATCTGTTCTGCTTGTATATTGATAGGTTATAAAGATGTTACATACTTCACACTCACCAGACCTGAACATAAACATTCATTTATTTACAACCAGCCAAAGTAAACATATACTTAGAATAACATATTTTATAACATGATAATTCAATATTTTATCCCTTTTAAGTTGTATCTAGGATTTTTTTTTGAAACGGTCATATTCGTGTGAGACATTAATGGTAGATGTAATATTGAGTTGATTTTCTGCAATATCCCTATAGGGACTTTCTGCTTCCCTATATCTGTTATAGTAGGCCAACCCAGTCCTTATAAAGCATGACCTGTTACATAAACTCCAGCAGGAGCACTTGCTGCTCTGCCTGCTCGGTGTGAGGATATGTCTGTTGCAGCACCAGCATGACCTCATTATTACTGAGGAAATCACCAGAGTAGTTTAAACCTTTTTGCTTTGGGTAAAGCCTGATATTTTCCAAGATTTTACTTCTTTGAGCAACAGAGCCTGAAGAGCATGAAACCTGAGAGAAATGCCTTTGCATACCAAAGACTTAGGCAATAAATAGAAGATCCTGAAATAGACAGTCAGTGGGCCTCTGAAGCCCCTCTGCTGTACGCCTTTAGGCTGCAGTTGGGTGTGAATGTTAAACAAGAAATAAGCTGTTTAACTAGCCGCCGAGCATGACCTTAGGTTTGTGTAGCTTTAAAATAACTAACCTCACAATAAAGAAAAAGTTCACTGTGTGCATGAAAGTTCAGTCATTGTCGGCTCATTTGGTCTCAGTTGACCCTCCAGTGAAGAAGGTGGGAACACCAAATACATCTCAAACTCAGAACCAAGATGTCCATCAAATCTTCCAGAAACATCTTGCTCAAGTTGCTTTCAGGGAAGAAAATCTATATATGAGCTCTTTTGAGAAAGTTATTGGATACTATCTGTTTTTTCTTCTTCAAACAGTATATGGTTCTAGCCCACATGTGTCAAACTCAAGGCCCGGGGGCCAAATCAGGCCCTTGGTGGATTTAATTTCGGCCCGCAGGATAATTTCTAATTACTATTAGATCTGGCCCGCCGGTATATTGCACGCACACCTTCACTCAATCCGGAGGATTTCCTCAGCTCAGAGCCTGACCCCAAACATTGATGAACTTGCACCCAAGATGAGATGCCAAGTATCTGGCTTGAACTAGCATCACAGAGCAGCACACTGAGTTTAAATGGATGTTTCCTTTTGCACTTTTTTTCTTGCGACGACAGGGCATGTTTGGTTTTTTCTTTGAGGGAAATTGTTTTGGAAAAATATAATCATAAGAAATGACTCCGGAAAAGCTGCAGATAGAGCATATAAGCCATAAGAAATGAATGCAACTGATTATTCAATGTTTAATGTTGTTTTTATAGGCAATACTTTAAGCTTTGTTAGTTCCAGGTTTAATATGTGCAATAAGTTCATTTCAATAAGTTTTGCAATAAACATTGAACCAGTCCGGCCCTCGACTAGTACCGATTCTTTTGGTGTATTTGAGTTTGACACCCCTGTTCTATCCTATTCTCAATATCTCTACATCTTTGATTTGCTTTTGGGGTTGCTTGTTACTATAAGGGTGAAATAAATAGATTACAAATTGAATAAAATGTTTGAAATGAACTATTCCATTAATCTCGTTTGGAGATGTCTCTTGAGTCAGCATTGATTGAGTCTTCAGACTTAACGTTTGAAACGTTTTAAATAAAAAAAGGAAATCTTCTGGTTTGAAGTTGGAAAGAAGTGATCTCATTAGTCTTCTGTGGCCTCTCTTATCCACCTAAAGCTATTCCCTCGAGGCTACATTAGCCACTAAAAGCATAACACACATGAACATACAATGGTCGATTGCAGCGGTCAATGTAGGCACCAGGTTTTTATATGGAAGAAGAATGGAGTAAAAAGGATGATAACTCTGGTTCTACATTTGTTGTTGTTGTTGTTTTTAAACTGTTCATGAGTCAAACAGTGTTTTAAAAGTGCAATGCTTGATGAGATGAGTCATCTTTAACAATCACAACTGCTGTAATTTGCTTATTTGAAAGCATGCAAAAAGTTGTGCATAAACAAAGTTATGTGCATATATATAAAGTTATTACTGTCCTCAAGTTTAATAGTGTCAAAAAGCACATGTGATTCTGTAGCACATATCTCTCATAGAAGAGGTAAAGAAGAATGGCTTACTTTATCGTTAAAATATATGATATATTTTGTAGCAAATGAAAAGCAGGGTCAAGCATTCTGAGAGAGTTAATTGATATAATCAGCATTTGTGTCTGTTTAAGAGTTCAAATCCATCCATCAGAGCTCAGGGCAGCTGTAACACGTGGCTAACAAATGACTTCATGGCTTTACTTCACATCTCATTTTACAGTCAAATGCATCCTGGTGCCAACATTTGCCAGATCTTTTTCTGTTCACCCTTCCCTACATGTAGTTGAGTGTAGAGTCCTAGTTCACAGTACATGTTAGAAGAAGAAAAGCACATGAATGAGTTGGGGGGGGGGGGGGGGGGGGGGGAAGACAAGTGTTGGAGGGTCAGAGATTAAGGCCTGACAGTTGCAAGGCAAGAGAAGCAGTTGAGCAGAATATATTTATAGTGCGGCATTTCTCAGGATCAGATTGCTTTCAAACTGTGCCAGTCTCACCCCGACACCCACACCCACCTGTTGTGGGAGATTTGTGCAGTGAAGCAGCCGCACAAATTCACATCTCCATTTCTCATTTACTAAACTCTCTAACAGAGTTAACACCCAGAAGTTTCTACCCACATGGAAACATACACACAGTTGGAATCACTTCTTACTTATCTTATGTGATCATGGTAAGGTTTAGACTGTATACATCATTAAAAGAGTTTACCTTATTGTGTTTCATCTTCTACATGAGTTGTTTTTATATCAGGACACCTCAGGAGAAGAAAAGTAGATGAGTAAATGTATTCAAAAACAGCTCTAAAGTAGATATCTGGGGTATTTGTACATCACATTAGTATTAACACTGTATGCCTTGTACGTTATACTCCCATTCCGCATTTCATTTGGTTCTTTTAACTAATTTCTAGATTTGGT